CAAACTGAACGTTTCAAAGAGATAAACCCAACGACACCAGAACTTGTCCAATAAGAGCCCAAATGGGTCGGAATTAAGAGTCTGAAAAACATATTTGGAAGATCAAAGCATTAATTGGATAACAAAATGATATTAAAATATGACATGCTTATAGTCGAATCAAGTGGTGGTGAGACGAATCCATCGAGACCAAGATCACTGAATTATGACATAGTCAAGGCACTTAAACACTCAAAAAATGTTTTATGATCGAGTGTACCTATATGATCCATCTGATAGAGCCCTCCAAATATGTCCCAGATCTTTTCAATCTCCATATTTAAGGGGCATGTCTTTCTAAAAAAAATTATAAATAAAACCCCTCTTCCCACATGAAAGCAGGGCTTTGGACGTTTGACTAGAGATTAGAGAGAGCTTTGAAGTTTCAAGAGCTCCAGCACAATCAATGGTGAGCCTCCATTAACAGTCATCGGACCACCGCCCAATTGCTACCCAACTTTAACCCAATCATCATAGGACCACCTTTGAACTACGCTCCCGCCAACCATCGTCGCCCGCAAAGCTATGGTACCTCCAACTATAGTCTCCCACCGCCTAAGTTTTTTCGACCATCGTCATCTGCCAACCATGATCTCTCCAACCACCATTTCCCGTACCGTCGTCCCCCGACTACAATCTTTTCGACCGCCATAGCCCACCGATTACCGTCCCTCCCACCAGCGTCGCCCGCTGAGGCCAGTCCATCTGATAAAAAGCTTAGGTGGCAAGCATTTTATCTTATTTTTTTATTTTCAAAGAGGCGCATTTCCCTTATAAATCTCACCCTTAATCTATGAATGGACGGCGAGAAAGTGGCAAGGTCAGAAAACGTTCGACTGCGGCTAGACGGGATCACTGTGGGACCCACGAAACGTAGAGTACAGTATTTTCCACCGTTGGATTTGTTTGTTCTGTTCTCCGTAGCACATGAGGACCGTTGGATCATTCTGAGACTTGGCAATTTTTTATCCGTCAAAAATCTATCACCCGTGTTTGCCCAAGATAGTAAAACAAGCCTAAATGGGCCGACAAAAAATAATGGATTAATATTTTTTATTTACCAAAATACTTTTCAGCCCACTTGCGCAATATTTTTAAATATAATATAAAACAAAAACGACTGATTTAATTATTTTGTGTACGAAAATAATTATAAAAATAAAATATTTCTATTTTATTGCAAATACAAATTTTGAATTTTTGGATGGAGAAGGGCTGCATAAATTACTCATTTAGGCTTTTGGTCCTACTTGTGGTGGTTATAATTTTATTATTATAGTTATATAAAATAAAATTTTAGAGCAGAAAATTCAAATAAATAACAAAAAATAATAACAAAACAAAATTATAATAAAGCAATCAATAAGCTTTCTCAAACATACCTCTTGGCATCATAGCAGATATATCTTAATAAGCACGATTTTCAAGACATGTTTATGTAAAAAACTTTCGAAATTAAAATAATAATCATCCAAGTTATGATTTTAACAAATTTATAGTTGAATTAAATATCTGAAAGAACAAACCAAATGACACCAAAATCAGTTCAATCCAAACCCAAATGAGCCCAAATCAAATGATAAATGCATATTTGGAGGGTTCAAAGCATTCTTTGGATAACTAAATGATTGTCAAATATGGCAAGCTCATAATAAATTTGAGCGGTTCGACAAGGCGATTCCAACGAGCCAAAGTTCGCTTAATTTCAATATTACTAAAGTATTTAAATGCTCGATCAACGGTCTATGATCTAGGGGGTCGATATCAAACATCCATCTTAACACTCCGCTCGTTGATAGCCTTGACATTGATCTCCTATATATTTATAAGTCATGCCACTCCAAAATATATATAAATAAATCCCCTTTCCTCACATAAGTGGGAGGAAAGAAAAGAGAGAAGAGAGGAGAATGATAATATTTGGAGAGTTATCTTGTCGTAAACCACCACCGACATTCTTCCCAAGCCGTCAAATTAAATTTCTCCCTGACCACCAATGTTCTTCCAAACCATTGACGTTTTTCTCGACCGCTGAAGGAATTCATCTTGGCTTATGTCGAAGTTCTTTTCTATCATTACAAGACTTTTGCAACAAGGAAACCCATCTTAAGATCGACAAAAACTTTTCAATACATTGTATTCTCTATATCCTTGGGATAAAGGACGTTTTGATTATTATAATCTATTCAAATACTAGTATAACCGTTTCAATTGGACAAGACCCTATAATTTTTTCTTTTATCAGAATTTTTCACATAAAAATCCTAATATTTTCTTTATTATATGTTTGTGTGCTAAGATTTCATACATCGCTAAGATAAAAATATTTTCACTAAAACGCTACAAAATTTTCAGCCCGCAATAATAGTATAAAGCAGTTTATGGTATAATGAAAAAGCATAAATTTATTCAATTTTAAAAATAAAAAATAAAGATAGCATAAATTTTAAACTTGTATTTGAACTTATAATTATTTTTACTTAATATTTATTTTATTTTTTAAATGTCAAATAATTATTTATTTATGAAAAATACTTTTTTATTTTTTAACGCCTAGTTTTTTTTTTTTCCAGTGCATGAAGGTATGTTATTATTACTTGTTTATGTTGAATTCAAATTTGTCTAAAAATATATAAAAATTAAAAAATTTCAGCAATCGAAATAACCCCTAAGTATATATGCATTGATAAATTATTTAAAACCCACATGACGGTAACTTCGAGTGCACGAAGTCATAGTTGTTGTGTCTCACTTCGACTTCTTCGCTTTCTCCACACATCGCTTGGACCCATTGATGCTCTCGTCAAAGAGAACCCTTGTGATTTCTCACTTCTTTATTATCGAGGGTTTCAAGAATTTCTATAAGGCCAGAAGGGGGGCAAGAACAATCAGAATAATTAAGGGGAGATGATATGAGAGAAGAGATATAATGATGATCAAAATTATGTAAGTGATGGGCTCAATTGCGACAATGGGTTACAGGACAAACACTGCAATGACATTGAGACATAAATTGTAACGAGGGTTATTTTAAATTTTTTTTACTATTTTGAGTACCATATAATAAATAGTAAATATTTGTGTTAAATATTTAAATATTAATATTTAAGATGCTATGTTTGTAAATTCCATATTTTATGTTACAATTAAATAAAAAATTAAAATGAAATAAGTACATAAATCTTAATATCTTAGGTGCAATGCATATAAATTCCCCATATTAAATATTTCAAATAATATTTTACAAAATGTCAAAATTAAATAAAAAAATAAAATTAAAAATGACTCAAAAGTCCCAAAGGACATCTTAACAATTCTGCCTACAAATGCAAATAATAATGGTGCCTAAGCTGCTTTCGAAAAGGCAAAAGAGTGTGAAAATGACCTTTCAAAATACGAAAGGAAATTTATATATTTTTGCACGGGTTAGATATCGGATGAAACCCGAAACCGCTACCAAATCCACCTGCTCATTAGTAAGATCATCTCCAACTGTTTGACAAACAATCAAATGGAGGCCTCAAATGTGGCAATCAAACGCTTTTTCCTCCGCCATTTGATTGCGGATGAACAGTGCGACATCAATATTGGCGTCGCACTGTTCATAAGCGCCATTTTTTGGTCTCTATCAAACTTGCGGAAGAAAGACGAGAAAAAAAAAGAGCGACGGTTAGGGAGCAAAATGTCGTTCAATTTGTAGATGAATCACGGTACTTTTTTGGTTTCACTACATTTTGGGGTGAAAAATGAGATTTTCGGTTGTAAATGCCCTATGAGCATCTCCAACCGAGCGTATAGGCATCACCAACGGATGACTCAATTTTTCACAGCAAAATAGAACAAAACTCCAAAATGCCGTGGTGCTGCTCCAATCGAATGCCATTTTATGTGCTTCTGCGAAGGTAACGATCCTTCTCCCTTTAGCGCGTTTTTCCGGTTGAGAGATCAAAATAGCATAGGTGAACAATGCAACGTCAATATTAACGTTGCACTATTCACTTACAAGTAAATGACGGAAAATTTGACGTTCTGCTGGAGCGATCGAACGACTCGTATGCTCCTTTGGAGTTCTATTGGAGATGCTCTAAGTTGCCAATTCGCCATCCAACTGACCTCTTTGAAATTGTTTTCCAACTCCTATCGTTTAGCTCAACGTGTCGGTCATCACCACCTCCGTCCTCTATAAAACGCCCTTTCTCTTACCAAATCTTTCTTCACAAAGATCTCTGTTCTCAAGTGCCCCAATAAACGCACAGGATGTGGAGAGCAGCATCAAAGCAAGTGATCCGCACAGTCGGTTCCTCTTTATCAGATCTCTCTCCCCTTGCAAAGCAGCTCCATGTACTCTATCCAGTCTCCAGGCTCTCTTCGCTTCGCAAAGTTTTCATCTTTTTTAATTTTCCCTCCAAAAGAGGGATTTTTATTGAAAAAGTTCTCATTCTACGATTTGGGGGAAACTTTTTGCAGGCTTCTCCAGGGAGTAAGAAGATAGTCGGCGTGTTCTATAAGGCTAATGAGTATGCAGCGAAGAACCCTAATTTTTTGGGATGTGCGGAGAGGAGTTTGGGCATTAGGGAATGGTTGGAGAGTCAAGGTCATCAGTACATTGTTACTGATGATAAAGAAGGCCCTAACTCAGGTCTGTAAATCAAATCAAGTTTGATTTTTCAGAAGTTCTTATAAAAGCAATAGTTTTTAGGAGCTGTTAGGCTGCAAGTAGGATTTAACTCGAGCCTGAGACTGGTAAATTCTGAAACTGTTTGGCATGTTTTAGGAAGCTGTTTAGCTACTTATTTTAGGATTTGAAGATTTAGATGATTTTGATATTTTGTTGTATGAACTTATTATATATCAAATTTAATTAAATTAATTGAATCTTGATTAGTATAAACAACATCTCAATTAACCTCCATAAGTTTTTTCATGTTAAAATTGCTATATTTGCTCCCATTTAATATGATCTATTGTTTTTAACTCATTAATGTTTTTTTTTTTTGCATTAAGATAATTCCTTGGGTAAATTATGTTTGTCACAACCAAATATTGTATACTTAATTACAAAACTAAAACTCACATATCTCTTTTTACAACAATCCCACTTAAATCTCAAAGAGCACATTAAAATACCATCCAATATATTTTTTCTTTCATTAAAATCTCAATGAGTTAGTCTTGGCACTTGCAAATAAATGATCTTGCTAGTTCATTTTTTTTTCTTTCGGTTAGGATGTTAGATTTGAAAATAAGAAAATTTGGGTGATAGTGTTGAATCCTTGATTCTTGTCAGATTGAATAAAGAAGAAGAATAGAATTCGTTTCATGGAAGAGGAAAGAGTGCAGAGAAGAAACGTAAAAGATGTTTTTTAATTTTTCATTATCTAAACTGTGTTACAAATGGTGTATATATAGGAAAAGTAAATTCAAGAAAATTGCTTTCTGTTCTAACGGTACAATTGATTCACTAATGAAAGAATGCCACGTGTATAGTATGCTAACACCCCCCTTCAAACTTATGGCTGCGTAGGAGCAATGAGTTTGCTGGATATTTGCTTGAACCTTTTTAGTATTATCATTTGATTTTCTTCAGCATGAATATACGTGTTATTTTTCCTATTCCTTTTCATTTTATGATTGTGAAGTTTCCTAGCTTGAATGATTTTCTTCAGCATGAAGAGTGTCCATGTTTGGAGGATATACTGATAGTTTTATACTCTGAAATTGTAGTATTATCATTTTTCACTATTTGATGTCATCTTGCCTTGAAAGTATGAATTGGATTTCATGTTTTTATGAAAGCACATAATTGCTTGTTGATTTCATTAACTTAGCTTGGTCCCCAAGTTCTTGTTTTAGAAATATAGCAACAAACTTCTGCAAATTTCTTAATTTTTGAGATAGACAAGTCGTGAGTAGATATTATCATATTGTAGTATGATTTCTGTAATTGTGGAAAGTAGATTAACAGGTTGGGTATTGTTTATGGATTTTTTATTACATAAAGAAGTGTTCGATTATATGAAATTTTGCAAATGGAAATTTAGGGGGTTTGATTATTTTGATTATTATAGACCATTAGGCTTGACTTTGTTTGATGAGTGTCTCATTGATCTTTTATGCCTAATCTGATTTGTATAATCGATTCTATAATTATTTTTCTTTCTTCAATTTTCATTTGCTCTCTTGTTACTCTTTATGAACTATGAGTTTGAAATGTTTTCATCTGTCTTGCAGAACTTGAGAAGCATATTCCTGACTTGCATGTTCTAATCACCACCCCCTTCCATCCTGCATACGTTACTGCCGAAAGAATCAAGAAAGCCAAGAACTTGCAACTTCTTTTAACTGCCGGTATCGGCTCCGATCATATTGATCTGAAAGCCGCAGCCGATGCAGGGCTGACTGTTGCGGAAGTTACAGGAAGCAATGTTGTCTCAGTAGCAGAAGATGAACTCATGAGAATTCTTATTCTCATTCGGAACTTTGTCCCAGGTTACCAACAGGTAATTAATGGTGAATGGAATGTTGCTGCGATCGCATATCGAGCTTATGATCTCGAGGGAAAGACTGTTGGTACTGTTGGCGCTGGCCGTATTGGAAAGCTACTGTTGCAGCGTCTGAAGCCTTTTAACTGTAATCTCCTCTATCATGATCGATTGAAGATTGACCCAGCCTTGGAGAAAGAGATAGGTGCAAAGTTTGAGGAGGATCTTGATGTTATGCTTCCCAAGTGTGACATAATTGTAATTAACACTCCTCTTACAGAGAAGACAAGGTAAATTATCTCTTTTGACTATCCAAATTTTACTTGGTTACTAGTGAATTATTTGCCTTAGTTCCTTTATTAACATACGATGAATTACGTTGTTGTTATTAATTGAATATGAATATAAAAATCAGCTGAAATAAAGTTATCTCAATAGATCTGAAACACTCAGATTTCCTTATAATGTTGGAAAGTGATTATTTCTATTGTAGTGCTAAGTTTTACAGCCTGTAAGATTATTCCTACAGTGCTGCAACATCTAAAAATTCCTGATAGCAGAAAAGTACTATTGTTGCAATAAAATTTACAGTAATTTTCTTTTCTATTCCTATATTCAGTATGTGCATATGAATTTGTTATTTGTCTTTTAGGGGTTTGTTTGACAAGGAAAGAATCTCGAAGTTAAAGAAGGGAGTTCTTATTGTTAATAATGCCAGAGGAGCTATTATGGATACTCAAGCAGTAGTAGATGCTTGTTCCAGTGGACATATAGCAGGTAACTCTCTCCAGTTTGCTAAAGTGTTGTAAAAAGTGCTTATTTGGTGTTTTTCTGATAGGAAGTACTTGTAGATCTCAAAGTATTTCCTATCAATCTTCAAAAAACAGCGAGATTTCTCAAACAAAATTCACACAAAACCACAAAACAGTAGATAATTTGTATTATTTGATAAAAGGGAAACGGAAAATAACAAGATATAATTGATCCTCTATTTGAGAGAAGGATCCATCTCTCCCAAATCTCTAGATGCCGCTAGAGCCCAAAAGAAACCTAATTCTAAGAGATCTCAAATTTCAGCCAAATTCAAGATGCCCTAATCCTAGGAAAATAAACTATTTAATGCATACAAATCAAAATTAAATCCCTAAACAATCCCTACATTCAAATTTCCCTCTCAAATTCCTCAAAAATCCTTCCTAATCAGCTCTATTGGTCCCGCCGGTTTTGTTCGGTAGCACAGAGAGGCGGAAGTTAGCCTATGTTTCCGCATACTGTCCCGTGTGGACCGGCTGGACCTATCCAATGGACCGGTCTAACAATTTCTTATGAGTTGCATTTGAATGATGACACATGGATTCCCACTGTGGTTGCTTCAGGTTACAGTGGTGATGTGTGGAATCCACAACCAGCTCCTAAAGATCATCCATGGAGATACATGCCTAACCATGCCATGACCCCTCATATTTCTGGCACAACTATTGATGGCCAAGTAATAATTCATCACCTCTTTACTTAAATTATGATTATATGATTGTAATATCATAAGTAAATAGTGATACTGAAAGCTGAATTTTGCAGCTAAGGTATGCAGCTGGTGTGAAAGACATGCTTGACAAATACTTCAAAGGAGAGGATTTCCCTCAGCAAAACTATATTGTCAAGGAAGGCAAACTTGCCAGCCAGTACCTGTGATTTCCTCATCTCAGTCTGATGGAGAGAGAACTGCCTTTATATATATATATATATATATACTATTGAATATATAAAATTCCACTATTATTTAAAATGCATGTTTTTTATGTATTTTTCTGATATCATTTAGATGTTATGATGTTATATTAGTAAATTTATAGATTTAGGTGTCAGACTATCTTAATATATGAATATTTAGTGGTATGTATGTAAATTCTTCAAATTTATTTAAATCATTATAATTAAAAAGGTCAATTATAATAATTCAAAATGAATTTGATGACTGAAATAAATTATGACATCTGAAACTACTATAGGAAGACATTTTTTTCTTGCAAAGTAATTCATTACCAAATATGTTGAATTCAAATATATTTGTGGGTGATCTCTAATCTTACTAGTTGATGAGTTTTGGCCTCAAACTTTGTGAGAATAAAAGAGCGGGAGAGTACACTAGCTCAAGTAAGGAGAACGCCGAGCACAAAAAGTGTCGAAAGGTCTAATAGATTCTAAATGTTTGCTATCATCGACTTTTATTTATATGGATCTGAGGGTTAAGGAAAGGCTACATCAATAAAATGAATAAAGAAGTATGAGGCTCAATGACTTTACATACTACTTGAGGTATGTGCCTCGTTTTGGTTGGTTCGTGAGAGAACGATCTTTATTCAATCTTTTTTTTTTTCTAGGTGAGCTCGGTAATGCTAAGACGATTAGGATTAATAAAATTAGGGTAAATTTTTTTTTGAGAGGGGGCAAAATGCTCAAAACACCCAAAATATTCTAAAATATCGCCTCTAAAATTTAAAATTTTTTTGAGGGTGGGCATTTGCCCCCCTCAAGACGAAAAATTATTCCGTCAGGTTACCTGACGTAGACTTATATCAGGTAGCTTATAATATGTCGCCACGTGCACTTACTCTTTACCGCGCGGCCCGACGACCCGACTCGGACCAAATCCGGGATTACTATGTTCGCGTATTGCTCGATATTTGCTCGTTATTTGCTCGGTATTGCTAGGTATTACTCAGTATTGCTTGGCAATAACGAGAAATACCGCTATGTGAAGACCAATACCGAGCAATACCGAGTAATACCTAAAAGAACTTGGTATTGCTCGGTATTGAACTTGATATTGCTCGGTATTGTTCGATATTGGTCTTCACATAAAAATATTTTTCGTTTTTGTCGAGCAAAATAGACCAATATCTAGCAATACCGAGCTACGCAAACTACCGTGTCCGTTCCGGGTCGGGTCATTGGGCCGCGCGGTAAGAGTAAGTGCACGTGGTGACATATTATAGGCTACCTGATGTAGCTCTACGTCAGGTAACCTGACGGAATAATTTTTCCTTCAAGACATGGGGGATCTGCCAATGTTTGACAGCTAGTACCTTTTCATAAAAAACATATTAAGAGTATTCGGAAAATTATTTAGAATTTTGCTTTCAAATATCTGTCAATATTTATTTGAATATAATTTCTTATAATTTTTAAATTTTTTTATGATGAGATAATTCTTTACGATCTAACTTCATTACTTTCAATAAACAAAATCAGAAACTTTTTATATTTCATTTCATTCGGCCAGAGGTCTTCTCTGAGCAAAATTCGGCAATAAGTTATTTGAAAATTTTCATATTATTTTTATAATGATATATATATTAAAAACTCAAAAAATTATTCTGTTCAAATTCGAACAGCATCTAAAGATCAATCAAAACAAATCACATCATTTTTTTTTATATTGATGGTTAGTATCGCTGAATACCAGATTACATGACAGATTTTGATCTCCGAATTCGGTATGTGCACAGAATAATATCTCTAAAAAGTTTTTTTTTTTGGGACATTTAGGCCATTTAAGACAAATTCATACACACAACGCAAACACAAAGACTCGAATCTTGGACCTCTTAGTTGAAAGTCTCTAAAAAGTAAAAACTCTAATTTTTCCTGCTCGGGCAGTTACCTTCTTGAAAATTTCTGTTTTTTTCCCAAAAAAGAAAATTTCTGCTTCCCCTTGTCCGCCACGTGTACTGTGAATAGTCAATGATCGGACGGCTATGTACTCATTTTCGCGCTGTTAAAAGCCCGCCGCGTAAGGGTTCCAAATCACAGAGGGCAAGACGCGAAAGGGAAAAAGTCGTAAGCTTTTCAAACCCCAGCAGTTTAATCTCTGTTATTACATACAATTGCCGCATAATACTTCAAATCGTTCACTTTGGTACGTTTCTCCTTTGTTTGATCCTGCAAATTTCCTTTTTTTTTATGCTCAGATCTGAATTTCCCCATAATTCCAATATTTCTATGAAGCCCTAATTTTTTCCCTAGATTTGATGATTCGGAGAATGGTTAAGTGCTTTCTTTATTAATGTTTTATTCGCAATTGTGTATGCGTTTTTTCTTGAGGGTCTTCGTTGCTTTATTTGGATTGATGTGTTATCTATTTAAAACTTCATAGCTTTTTTATGCTTGGATCTGAGTTTCCAACTCTTTCAATAATTTTTTTTTTCTATAAAATTCATTTTTTTATGTATTCACGGCTATGAATACCTAATTGTTTCCTAGTTTTCAATCATTCAATCTGAAAAAATTTTCCCGTTTGAGATTTAAAAAAAATAAACAAAATTTTCCCTTTTTGAAGTTGGAAGTTCAAGCATGCAGTTTCTGTTGTATGGTTTACAATGGCTTCTTCATTTTTGTTCAGATTTTTGTTGGCGAAATGGCTGAATCAAAGTCTGGTTTAAGGAAACCAGTGTTTACCAAAGTGGATCAGCTCCGCCCTGGTACTTCTGGCCATACACTTACTGTGAAAGTTGTTGACTCGAAGATAATTAGACAAAAGGGGAGGGCTGATGGGCCTCAATCTCGTCAGCCGCGAATTGCTGAATGCTTGGTTGGGGATGAGACTGGAATGATTGTGTTTACTGCTCGAAATGATCAAGGTAGATTGATTTCCTTAAATTAATTATAGAATTTACATTTTACTAAATCATGTTTTACCATTCATTAGGTCTATGCAATTTAGGCTTAATTTGGTTCTTCTTCTCCTTTTGTAAAAAATAGTTTTAGAAATAATGGTTAAGGCAATGAAGTTTCTGACGGAGAATTAAATATCAAAAAGCTTCTCAAAACAGTAGAAAAATGAAGTTCCCTAAAAAGCATTTCTATAGAAGCGTCCCATCCAAACAACGACCAAAAAATAATTTCTCCGTTTTTGAACAGAAAAGGTAAAAAAACGCCGAAACAAACGAGCCTTTAGCCATTATGATAAATATTTTATCATTATCTATGTTTAATTTATTGAAGTTATTTGTGGTCTTACATGTTTTTAATTGTATCTGAAGTTTTTTTGCTGTTGATTTTCTTCAAGGAGCTGTTTGGAATCTTGTTTTAAGCAAGATTTATGCAATATTTTTCTTGAATCCTCTCAAACATAATTTTGTTGTTTTTAAATCCTACAGTTTTGGTAAATATTGTTTTAGCCTTGTAATTTGCTGAATCCAACATTTGTCAAATGCTACCTTTCACCAGATTAAAAGATTTATGAGCAATTGGACTACAAGTAGGATTTCATAAGTGTTGTAAATTGATATTTAGTATATTCTGAAGGTGTTCAATACTGAAAAATGTTAAATCCAGTGTAAATTATTTTTTAAGGATTTAGAAGGAGAAGAAGCACATTGAAGAGAAGGGTAAATTTTTGAAATCCTGTTTCCCTGATAGTTACAAAATGTTTGATTTAGCCTAAAGCTAGAGGAAAATGGGATTCTAGAAGATAGTGGGATATATGTCGCTCAAAAAAACTTTTTTACAAGATTTAACGTAAATCTTAGCCAAATCTTGCAACCAAATAGCTCCATAAGGCTCACTCATTATTTAAATTTTGAAACAAATATTCGAACTAGTCATGAAGATTTGATAGTTGTTATGCAGAATAGTTTTTAGAATTTAATCATCTCTCTATTTAATAAATCTAGATTTACAGGATTTACTAATCCTTTTTATAGCAAAAAATTTGCTAAGAACCCTTTTATAATTTGCCATTTCTTCTTTTATTAATTATCTTTGCTTCTTTTATTATATTTATAGGAGAATGATGACAATTGTGGAGTGTGGCTTGTTGAGATATAGGAAACTTGATATCATGTGATTGAAATAGACTAACATTACTGTTTTCGGTCAGTAGTGAGTATCTTTGATTGTTCACTTATATATTTAAATTTCTTAAAACTACACATAATCAAAGTAATTTCGATTTCAAAGAAATTATGGATCTATGACTGCAAAAGTAAGCATTTACTTGTATGAACATTGAAAAAACAGTAAAATAGAGGTTCCTTATCCACTAATAGATGATAGATGCACCTCACTGTAAGGATGTGATGTGTTTATATATTTAGATATGTCAAATGTTAAGCTGAAGATTTTTTTTAAAAAAATCTTCTTCCAATTTAAAAATGTAGCCGTGATGTTGAAATCTAAATATTAGCGATGTAGTACTGCAATTTCATTCAATATCTATGTTTTAAAGGTTATACAAAAAAACTAAATAACTAGCATATTTTAATAGCATAACATTGTATTGATGATTCCACTCCGGAATCTTTATGTTCTTGCATAATTCCTATCTGATTTACAAATTAGCACTCTTAGATACTGTATCATCTCCTATAGTTATTGATTGAACATTATAAGTTTAAAATTACTTCTATATATATTGGTGTTTATCTTGATTTATTAGAGCCCCACTATGTTTTGATATTGTATTTTTTTGTGTAAGTGGTTTATATCATGATTCTACCTTTTGTCTACTACATAGTAAGATCCTTAGTATTGTAGAGAGAAGGATCTATTCGTTTTTGAAGTTGAATTATCCAAGGTTATAAAAACCGAATCAGAGATAGAACCAGAGAAGAGAGATGTTCAAGATTTAATGGTTCGACCGGGTTGAACCAGATGAAATAATAAATATTAAAAAAATTTTAAATGATATCTAAATGATAAGATAATGATAGAATAATTATAAAATAATATAATTTTGGGACTAAAAAATAAATAAAATTCATACATAAATTATATATTATATAATTTTAATAATAAACATAAATAATTATTAATTTATGTTATATATTTAAATATAAATAATTTCTAATTTTAAATTTAAATGTAAAATATCCCCAATCATCAATTTTAATTCATATTTAATAGAAATTTAGTTTATATATAAATATATAAAATTAAAGATTAAGTTAAGTGTTGCAGAGATGAGGATGCTTAGATGGATGAGTGGCTTTAATCTTAGAGACTTGATACTAAATGAGCATGTACATGAAAAGTTTGGAGTAACTCTAATGGAATATAAGATTATAGAGAGTCGCCTTATATGGTTTGGTCACATAAAATGACGACCTTTCAATGACCTAATTAAGAAAGATAAATGTAGACTTAAAAAGACTTGGTTATAAAATATGAGAAATGACATTTCTTTATTAGATTTAAATGAGAACTTAACTCTTATAGGACACAATGGAGAAAAAGATTCATGTAGCTGACCCCACATAGTGGGATAAAGGCTTGATGTTGTTGTTGCATAAATATATAAATTTAATATAAATCATTGCTAATTTATGTTATATCTTTATGTCATAGTGGGATCTATTGTTCAGAGTGATGTTGAAATAGATGGGGATATTATTAGCAGAATTCAAGTTGGATGGTTGAAGTGGAGGAATGCATCGGGCTTGTTATGTGATGGAAATGTACCCATCAAATTTAAGGGAAAATTCTATAAGATGGTAGTGAAGCCTGCAATACTTTATGGTGCCAAATGTTGACCATTAAAAGAGAAGCATAATACTAAGTTAAGTGTGGCAGAGATGAGCATGCTCAGGTGGATGAGTGGCTTTACCCTTAGAGATATGATACGAAATGAGCATATACGTGAAAAGGTTGGAGTAGTTCCAGTAGAAGATAAGATTAGAGAGAGTCGCCTTAGATGGTTTGGTCACATAAAAAGGCGGCCTTCCGATGACCCGGTTAGGAGAGTAGAGGTATTAGATTTGACTTGTGTTAACAAAGGTAGGGGTAGACCTAAAAAGACTTGGTTAGAAAATATTAGGAATGACCTCTCTTTATTAGATTTAAACGAGAATTTGACTTTTAATAGGACACAATGGAGAAAAATGATTCATGTAGCCGACCCCGCGTAGTGGGATAAAGGCTTGATGTTGTTGTTGTTGTATTATATGATTAAATAGCTAAATAGATTAACATTAAATATTTTTAACTAAAAAGTTCATATTATTTACATTAAATAATCAACTAAATAGATAAACAACTTGCACTTTTTCTTAGAAATTTATGGACTAGACCTGTTTTTTTGGTAGCATAGCGGAAGCATATCCTGAAATTAGTGGTGTAGAAGCATTATTCGAATAAACTTTTTTTTACAAGCTCAAGTTTTATTTCCTTTCTGCTAGTGTGATGTAGCTTTTTAAGCTAACCAATTCCTTTTGTATTGAAGACTTTGAATGGTTAATCATATTTGGTGATGAAATTGTTTTTTGCTTTTTCATTTGCTTCGGGATGTGGGAGATTAATTTATTTTTCTTATTTCTGCATCTTTTTAGCAAGAAGTATATTTTTTGGGTGTCTTTTGTTCAAAGTGGTGGTGAAATAGATAGGGATATTATTAGTAGAATTTAAGTTGGATGGTTGAAATGGAGGAATGCATCGGGCTTGTTGTGTGATAGAAAAGTCCCTCTCAAACTTAAGGAAAAATTTTGTAAGATGGTAGTGAGACCTGTAATGCTTTATGGTGCAAAATATTGGCCATTAAAAGAGAAGCATAATATTAAAGTGTTGCAGAGATAAGGATGCTCAGGTGGATGAGTGGCTTTACTCTTAGAGATAGGATACGAAATGAGCATATACGTCCAATGGATGATAAGATTAGAGAGAGTCGCCTTAGATGGTTTGGTCACATAAAACGGTGGTCTTCCGATGACCCGGTTAGGAAAGTTGATGTATTAGATTTGACTTTAAGAAGTTAAAGATAGACCTAAAAAAACTTGGTTAGAAAATATTAGAAATGACCTCTCTTTATTAGATTTAGATGAGAATTTAACTCTTAACAGGACACAACGTAGAAAAAGGATTCATGTAGCCGACCCCACAGTGGGATAACTGTTTGTTGTTTTTCTCGTATAAAATCATATCTTTTGATTTAATATTCCAATGTTGTGGACTTGTGGTGTTGGCTATTTAGAACATTGCTTTAGCTACTTAATGTTTTATTGTGTTTTTTGGATGCAAAATAACTTGTATATCTTTTGGAAGGAAATAATTATGTTCTCTATGCTTCCACGAGCATGCAGAAAATATTAACTTGTATAATTTAATTAACCATGATGAATCATCGATAAGTTTTGGTTTATCAGTGTTTATATACTAGAATGAAGGCCATACCCTTGGACCGTGGGATTCTGCCTCTTCTATGAGGTTCTTAAAAATAGTACCATCTCTCTATGAAATCATAAAAAAAAGAAGTTTTTTTTTTTTTGTAGCCGTTTCAATATCACCTTTGTTGAAGCACATTATGCAGGCTCATTCGTTTTCATAATCATCTTTAGTATTCTCTTTAACTATTTCCAAAAACATTTCTATTGTAACTGAACGATTTTCCCTGCTCTGTGAAGTTGAACTGATGAAAGCAGATGCCACTGTAGTACTTCGCAATGCAAAGATCGATATGTACAGAGGATCCATGAGGCTTGCTGTTGACAAATGGGGACGGGTCGAAGTCACAGATCCAGCAGATTTTACTGTGAAGGAAGACAACAATTTGTCCCTGATTGAATATGAACTGGTCAGTGTCGTCGAAGAGTAATCAACCTTCCAGATAGGAACCTGTCGTGCCGCCGGTGAACGGCAAAGTTTCTCTTCCAATGTCTTCCACTGATCAAAACCATCAGCAGAAAGTGTTGCAGAATCAAAATTGGGTTCAACTATGAAGAAGATTTGAGTACTGTAAGCATTCATTGAAGCACTTTATTTTCAGCCAGAAGATTGTGAGTAATTTAGTTATATATGGTTTCTGAAACTGTTTTGTTGTCATGAAAAGAATCTTCTTCCATCTCTAGTGATGTTCTTGCTGGTTAAAACTTTGATCTTTTGGGAAAATGTTTCATCTGTCAAGTATGTATGTGGAACACAATGGTTATTTTTATGAAAGTTTGTTTCTTCACCTGCATTTTGTTAAGAACAGACTATTCTGATGCTGAAATATTCTGAGAGAGAGAGAGAGAGAGAGACTAACAAACACAAGAAAATAACTTTCTGATCTCATCACCATATTTATAAAATAAAAATATAAAAAATATATGGTGTAAAATCAGAACATTACTAAATAAAACAAAAAATATTCAAATCTCATTATATATGTATTTAGATGTCGTAGTGGAACTTCCTAATTTTGTTATATGTTCATTAAAACAATGACAGGGTGTTAAATGAAAATTATGGTGTAATGTTCTTAAATTTTAGAAAGTGTTTTAATTACCAGAAAAGAGGGATAACGGGGTATCTCCAACCGAAAACTCCATTTTCTATTGCAAAATACAGCAGAATTCTAAAATGCGGTAATTCTGTTCCAATTGAACTTCATTTTGTGGGCTTCATCGTCTCGTAACCGTCTTTCTATATTTCGCGGGCAAATCCCGTTGACACATACTGTTCACTTGCAATGAAAACGAATTGTTTGTCGTTCCATTGAAGATGCCATAAGAGAAATAATTAAAAAATATTTTATTAATGAGTTTGAAATAAATTGTTTGAAATAACATGCATTTATTAACACCATGAATTTACATTTATGACACACATTTACATCATACAACCCGACCTTACACTAGTGATATTAGCATAAATACCATTCCATGATGACTTGACAACCCATGACACAAACTAAATTGCCAATGTAGAAATCCAACAATTGTGTGATGATGATTGTAACAGCCCAAACTCTTAACTATCGAGATATTATTCGTTTTGGGCTAAGGGCCTCACGATTTTATCTTGTTGGTGTACCTTCCCAGGAGGTCACCCATCCTAGAATTTCTCTGAGATGAACACATTTTACTACAAAATTTTTTAATGAAATCTCAACCATTATACTAAAAGACGCATCGATTTTTAAGAGTTTAATTTCTTTTACTTAAGATGTTTCACATTGATGACCCAACTCCCAACAATGTTGTGATTAGAGGTGCCAATTCGGGTCAACGGGTCGGGTTCGGGTCGAACCCGAAACTAACCCGGCATTATTCGGGTCAACACGAACTCGACCCATTTTTAAAAACAGGTTAGGTTTTCGGACCCGAACTCGACCTGACACGAATAACCCGGGGTTGACCCAAAATTGCTAGTTTGCGGGTAAAAAATCGGGCCAATCTTTGATTTACGTGTAAAAAACGGCTCATAAACGGGTCAATCTCCAAATTTCGGGTCAAATACGAGTTTTCGTGTCAATTCCGGGTTGCTGGGTCAACCCGAACCCTACCTGATTTTTAAAACGAGTTTATTTGTTGAACCCGAACCCGACCCATTTCGAGTTCGGGTTAACCCTAACCCGAATTTTTCCACGTCGGATTCGAGTTGTGTCAAAAATTGGAATTTTTATTGCGTCCTCCCACCTGACGTAGAGATGCGTCCTCCCAGAGCTAAAATTGCGCTAAAAAACGAGAAATGCCAAGCAAATACCGAGAAATACCAAACAATAACGAGGAATATCATCATGTGAAGACCAATACCGAGTTATACCGAGCAATACCGAGCACATACCGAGTTTTCTCTAGCAATACCGAGCAAAAACCGAGTTTTTTGGCGTTGGGAGGACGCATCTCTACGTCAGGTGGGAGGACGCAATAAAAATTCCAATTTTTGACACCCCTAGCTGTGATGTGATCTGAGATCACATAACAAATTCATAATCCATGACAAAAAATCAACTACTAGTATACAAACACAAAAATTATTATGTTATATCATAAATTAAAAGTTTTATTTAAATTTTTTATTAATTTCATTATAAAAAATAATTCTCTAACATTTTATTCTAAATTTTAATTAGGAAGGAAAGACTAAAACTAATAAACAAGTTTAAACTTTTTAAAACCTTCCAAATTGTTTGTCCGCAGGATAAAATTATATTGAAATGGGGTGTTGCGAGAATCGAACTCGCGACCTCTCGCACCCGAAGCGAGAATCATACCACTAGACCAAACACCCGGTTTTAAATTTAAATTTATTTTTTTATATATAACATAATAAACCATAATTACAGAAGTTTTAAAAAATTTAAAATAAATTTAGCTGAATATTAAACCAAAAAGATAGACATAACATGGTGCCTTCTCACTGTCCAATTCTTAATTTGATATCGAACAATTTCTTTTTTGTGATCCAATAGTTTATTTTAATTCTAATAGGCTAAAAATAATTTCAAGTCAACTAAAAATTAATTTATGCAATTTTTATTCACATTTAAAGTCTTTTAAATTATATTCAAAAGTGATTTTTGGGCTCAATAGACTTGAAAGCAAGTTAGATTCAACTGAAAATTAATTAATAATCTATGATTTTTATTCTCATTTAAGGTATTTTTGTCATTATATTCAAACAAATTTGGTCAAATCAGGCTTTGTTTGCAACAAATTTTTGACTGCTTTTGTCGTAAGAACAGTTAGTAAAAAATAATGATTTTTAGAAGACAACTTTTTCATGAGATTTCAAATTTCTTCATTTAAAAAAGCTATGTTTGGAAAAAATATTTTTTTAATAGTAAAAATTTAAAATTTATATACTAAAAAACTGCTTTAAGAAGCAATAAGAAAGCTGATCCAAATGCGCGAAGCCTGAGAAATGAGCTTAATTGCCCCAAATAAGCCTTAAAATCATTTAAAATTTACTTTCAAAATCAATTCATTTTGATCCCATTTTAAATGAAATTTGAATTATTTCTAATTATATTTTATTTTAGCATCCCTAAAAACAATCAATAACATTACATATCTAGTAATATTAATTTTATTTTAAAAAAATTAAAATTATACCCTAAATACAAATACATGTAAATATTTACATGTTTATATATTTCAATCTAATAATTTATTATTTAGCTCAATTGAATTCAATTCAATCCCAATCTAATCCAAATTAAACTAAAATTATGCCAAACTTACTCACTAATCAACTTCTTGAATCCAAAATTTTATTCTAATACTTTTTGACTTATCCAATCAAATTCATGATATATTTTATTTTATGAATTATAAGAAAAAAAATAAGGGTATTAACAATAATTAAAATTGATATATGATTGATGCTATATGTCTATTGAAAAGTTATGTATATTTTATGAAAGCTATTTGCATTTATTATTTTAGAACAAGGTTTGAAGGAAGAGTGACTTGTTGAGTGCAAAATAAGTAATCTATTATCATTTGTTTTTTGTTTTTAATAAATATAATATTAAAGTAATAAATTTAAATGCCATAAATATACTTTTTTTTATTCATATTGAAAGTCTTCTGAAACCATATTCAAAAGTTAATATTAATTTTAGGTTCAATAGACTCAAAAAACTATTTAGAATCAACCAATAATTAATTAATTAATAATTTATAATTTTGATTCACATTTAAAGTCTTTTTTCAAAATTTATTCAAACAATCCAAACCAAATTTAAAATCATTTTCAAATCAATTTCAAATTTTTAGTGAGTCTAAAAAAATCAGTTCATACTGATTTCAAAATTAGGGCAATTTTAAAAGAATTTTGAATCATTTCTATTTCTAATTATTTTTAGCATCCCTAATAACATACCATGTAAAATAGTATTTATTTTATTTAAATTGCTATTATTGAAATTAAGTAGACAATACATGCATACATACATACATACATAAGTACATACATATATATACATAAATACAATACCAAAATCCGCATCGAGCCAACCAACCCTGGACATCCAAGGCGCATGCAGCAAAGCTGCTTCCTCATCATCCATTCCCCAACGTCCAATCCGAATCGAATCCAGTATCGCAACAAAAGCAACAGAAATCGATAAATAACCAAATAACACCTCCCAAAACTTCCAAAAGAAGAAAATAATCTATTCCTTGAATTCCTTTTACGACCTAACAAAATTATCAAGCGAGCCCGAATCCAGGGAGTTATCAATGAAATCCCCCCACTATCAATAGCCATATGTCATCATGTAACCAATCACATTACCACCTAGCTATAACAACATGAGCTAACATATTAGCATTTGAAATGATAGAAATTGACACATCCACTAGAGACATCACAATACCTTCCTCCCCAACAATAACCAAGGTTTCCTCACCACTATCAACAAAGGAGACAAAATTATCATCACCAACAATCGGACTATCACTAAGATTAATGCAACAATTACTATCAGAAGCAAGCACAAGGGCAGGAGCCATGCATATATATTAGGAGAGACAACATCAGCATGCACAGGAGCTGTCGGGAAGAGAGCAGAGCAAAGCACTAACTCGATAGAAGGCACACCCATATGACATTCATTTATAGCATGGATAGCGGAATCCAACACAAGAATCGGCTCCACCAATACAACAGGAGACCCACCCGAACAAATCGCAGCAACAGAATCAGGGACAACCGGAGACTGAAATTGGCAAGATGGAATTAACTCATTCCCAACATCACCAATACTGGGCAAAGCAACAGGAGACCTTGTTAGGCGAGCAGATCTGATCCAGCCTATGTTAAAAAAGGTAGATTAAGGTCTGAAAAAACTTGGTATATCGAAAGTATTAGAACTTACATTTATTTATTATATTTAAATGAGATTTGATTCTTAATAGGATAAATTATTATAAGTTATCCTAAAAGTATTAGAAATGACATTTAATAGCCTAAAAAGTCTTGATGTTGTATAATTTATTATAAATTTCTAATTTTTTTTGTGATAAAAATAAAATTTTAATCATCAAATTTACTAAAATATGCTAGCTAGTTATAAGAAAAAACATTTATCCTTTTTTTTTTTTGAGAAAAGTATATATTTTAAATAAAAAATATTTTATACTAAATAAATAACTTTAGCATTATAGCAACATAAACACCCATAATAAAATAAACATTTAATAGCCTAAAAAGTCTTGATATTATAATAAAAACTATTTTATG